GCTCGATTGTTTGCGACCAGGACTTCTTTGGACGGCCTTTGGGACGTGTGCCAGGTACTTAAACATCTGCAAGAAAAGTTATGGCACTGTTTCTACTTCGTTTGACATGACCAAACCACCGCAGACGGTGTTGCCGGCATTCGGCCTTTATATCAAATAAACCGGCACGACGCGTTGTCATTGGCCATGTTTCTGCTCCATATAACAACACCGGACGTTTCACAGATTTATAAAATTTTGATCGTAGTGGTAGTGGGATGTCACGCCGCATCAATATAGAGGCTAGGAGATGCCAGGCTGCACGTATGCGTGCTCGAACGGCAACTTCAGCTCTTCCAGTACAATCTAGAACATCCCCTAGGTATTGAAACTTGCCGTGACTTCCTCCACCTTAACAATGGCGGATCCAGAGGGGGATCGCCCCCACTTTGAACTGAGGTTTGATATTTTATGAAATAAATAACAAAAAGCCAAACACTTCAACTTCTTGATTTTTTTTAAATTGAAAAACATTCTTAAAAACATTGTTCTGTTATATACATGAAATATTTACAAGACAAATGTCGTTTTTCTACATTTTTTTCGGCCAAACCTTGTTATAATGTCTTCAATATCTAATTCAATATCGCGATGAATGTTCATTAAGGCTAATCCCGTTAGTCTTTCCTCATTCATTTTGGAGCGCATCCACGTTTTTAACCGCCTCAGGGTAGAAAATGAACGTTTTGCCGTTGCTATTGAAACAGGCATGGTGCACAATATTGACAACAGGCTGTGAATTGTCGGATAGAGATTGGAATTGCACAATGCGAGAGCTTCAATGGCCGTTTTGGGCTGTGAATTCATCTTTACCCAGTACTGCGTCCAGAGCATTTCTTCATTGCGTACAAATTCAATGGCCGTGTTGTCATCATACGAGGTCAAATTTGTTATTAAACTTTTATATTTCGTAACAGCTTGGTCAATTAAAAACCATGTTTTATTCTGTTCTGCCTTACCACTTATTCCGAGGAAAACTGAAGGTATCAAACGACTCAAATCCATTATAGCTATTTGGATTGTTCCAAATTTTGATTTCATGTCTGTTATCATACTATCTAGCATGGGAATAAATATAGCAATCCTGAAATATTCTTCTAATGAGTTACTTTTAATATTTGCACGATTTACTTGTCTTTCTATACATCTTGGCATTTTTAATTCAATATTCAGTTCCTCTGCAACTTTAGAAACTCTCGTAAAGATATCATGAAATATTTGCTCAACATTTTCTCTTCTAGATTGAAGATTATCTATGACTCTATTAGCATGTTGAGCTGCCTCGACCAAATCTAAATTTTCTGTTTGTAAAACTTTGCTTAGTGGCTTAGTTAGAATTAATGGATCGGCAATTGAGTACAAAGCTATTAAAAATTCAGAATCAGTTAAAGCCGATAACAACGTCTTTGCTTTGGATGATGTTTCTCTGTCATGCCAATTAGCAATATTTTCTAAAGAAGCTAGAACATATTGCAGGGACTGTCTAAAACTGATAATCGAATCATGGCGTTCAACCCAACGTGTCTCACATAAAGGCATGACATTTTGTCTCAAATTTTGACTTTCATTTTTAAACATTATTCTTTGCACTAATTTTCTTTTGGCCGATGCGCGAAAAAAGGAAGCCGTTTGCTTAATAGTGCCCATTGCATTTCTTATGGCTTGTACATCGGATGTTTTAGATAAACTCAAGTTCAGTCCATGGTTAGTACAAACACAATGAATACATGATGTAGCTTTTTTTGATATTTCTGCAGCTGCACCACATGACTGATATGTCATGACAGAACATCCATCTGTTCCACAACCAACACAATGCTGTGGATCTAAAGTTAGCGCTTTTAGTAAACGTAACACTGAGCCAGCTAACATTTTTCCGGTTAATTTTGGTTCCGATTCTATATCTTTGTATGCATCCTCTAGAGAATCCACAAATGCAACAAAATCTTCTCTAACCTGGCCGTTGTAAACATATCGTAAGCTCAAAGACAATTGCTCAATACCATATATGTCAGTTGTTTCATCAAATAAAACTGAATAAAATTTGGCTGCTTTAACTCTCTGTACAATAGTATCTGTAATAATATCGCCAATTGTGGTTATGATTTCATTTTGAATCGTTTTGCTTATGTATGTCGCATTTGATTTAGATGATTTTAAATGTTCTTCAAGAACATGGTCTTCAGCATCGACCCTAAACTGAAGTAGTTCTCTGAAATTACCCTCATTTCTAACTGGACCGGTACCATATACCCCTTCATTAAGCATGTCATTGTCCAAATTTTCCTCATCTTCATCATCATCATTATCAGCATCGCCTGCATCATTAGTACTTATATTAAGTTTTCCGTGATCTCGATGTCCTCGTAGAGGAATATTTTGTTTTCCCAAAAAAATAATAGATTTAATTATGGGCTTCAATCTTTCTCTGTTTTCCTTCATTTGCTGATATCTTGCGGAATAGAGTTGATTAACAACTTCAAATGATGGATTTTGGTATGATTTGACAAAATCATTGCCCCTCTGAACTGACTCTTTGTGATACCTGTATTGTTCATGACAGCTGAGATCACCATCTTTGCCTAATAATTTTGCAAATGATGTAAGTGGTTTCTTTACTAATTTTTGCAATGGCGTTTGATGACTAATACCGCCGGTGTCAGCCATTAGAGCACAATACCTGCAAAATAAACCTTGTTCCACATGCGAGTATGTACACATGCATTAAATGTTTCCAAGTGACTTTTCAAAATGTACCGTTTTTCATTTTTACCATTTTTAATATGATTTGAATACGGAAATTTGTAGCCAAATTCTGGTTTCCATGGATTTTGTAGAAGTTCAAATTTTATATCATCATTAATTGTTTTATTACTGCTGCCCACATACAGTCCAATATCATTATTATGTACAAAATCCATTTGTTGATAGACTTTTCATTATTCTTTATCTTGTTATCTTCGTCATTATCGTGCAAAGCTACTTGCTCAAATGATTCATCATTTTTAACAATCACTTTTTCATTATGATTATCGGAACTATCGCTTTCATGTAGTTCTAAAAAAATAAACTAAATTTAACTTAACTCTGAACACTTATTTAACAATTTCTATGCTAATAGTGAACAAATTCATATCGTATGGTGATCTAACCTGGTGGATGTGCCCTTTTAGTTCGCTTCACAAAACGATCCATATATATTTAAATTAATCTGCTAAAAAAAACTGAAAATATGATTATGAATTATGATACTTATACAGTACTATTACTAGCGCAACTCAAATTTGAATTTTTAAAATGAAAATCAGACGGAAGAAGCGTTCAAAAAATTTTCAAGTGTATTTTGCCGCGTGGGTGCGTTCATAATTTCCCTTTGATCATTTGTAATAAAAATTATAAATAAATCAAAGTAAACATAAAACATTATATTATTCAATTAATTTACATTCTAAAATTTATAATCAAAAATGGATATATTCAACATTACAAAATATTTATTTAAAAATTTTCGCCCCCCCCAGTCAAACTTCCTGGATCCGCCCTTGCACCTTAATGGCTTCAAAAACATTGCTATTTTGAATTTGTTAATGTGGAATGATGCAAACAGTACAAACAAAATTAGACACTTTAGATTAGTTACCAACCAACCTCTTTCTAAAAAATGTGTTCAGTAAACAAAAAACCATCTGTTTTTTCTCCAACGTGGCCATTGAGATCGTCTCCAATCAGAATTGTTTCAGATTTTGGTATTGTTGAGATTTAGTATTGTTTCATTGTCATTCGCCTGTCTGTGGTGTGTATGCATAAAACATAGTCATTGTTTGCTTTTCTATGCGAAGCTTGATCCACATGAGCCGTGAATTAATACTTTTAATATCCAGTACTTCTTGGGCTAGCGGTTCTTTGACAAAATTCCAACACGATTTTTGGCAGTCTTTTGACCATTCCAGAATAGTTTATATTTTTCATTGTCTGAGTTGTTATGACAGACACCATTCGATTTCCATCGGGTCTCCTGAATGCAGCAGATGTCAATCCTTCTACGCTCGAGCATTTCTGCGATTTCCATGCTGCGGCCAGTCAGCGATTCAACATTGATTGTTCCAAGTCTAAAAACCATAGAGAGGCCATTCTGATTTTTTCTGCAACATCCCTCCGCTTTTGCATACTTCCCAGGGATTCTTAGCACCCCTTGACCTTCTTGATGAGGAGAGTAATGTCAAGCGTTGAGGTGAAAGCGATGCCAAGCTGGTCATTGTTTTTTTTTAATTAGTCTTTATTATTGCAGCTCTGAGATACGCAGAACCACTTACAATGTTACCAATATATTATGTTATCTATATATTTTTTATTATGTTCTTCTTTTCTTCATCTATTGATTTGAAGCAGCCATCTTTTGCCACAAAGGCTGTTTATCCTTTTAACACGACGTACACATGTATTTATATTAACCTCGAAAGGATGGACGGCTGGGTTGACCGGGGGTCGGCTACCCGGATGAATCTGTAGAAACTTCAGAATTCGAACCCGGGTCGTGGGAGTGGTAGACGGACACGCTAACCACTTGAAGACTGTTGAATAATTGTGGTTGAATAATTTTTAGTGACTGTTGTGAATGATTATCTTGAATGACTTTTTTAAATTAAGTAAAAGATTGCACTGCTTGGACCAGGGGGTGGAGTGTATGGCATTTGTGTTTGATGAAGAGAGATAATAAGGTATGTGTCGTCTGCATATTTTACAATCTTGTTTGAGTTGTGTTGTGGTTGGAGTTTGATGCTAAAGTTTTCAAGTGTTTAGAGTTGAAATAAGTAGTGTTTTCTATCAAGTACGAAAACAATTAAGCGTTTTGTCATTAACTGTTGATAGCAAAACTGCAACAGTTAACACATTTCAACTTAAATTAACTGTTGATTTTTTTAATAAAATTTTTAATAAATTAGTCAATAAATAAAAATTACTTTAAGCAATAAACCCGTGGCCTTTTCTGAGCTATTATAATACCTCGATATAGTAAATATTGTTCGAATAGCATTCATGAGACTATGAAGAGATTTGATCATCGAGGGAGGATCTCCATGATAAAGGCTCTATAAAATTCACAAATTAAAAAACTTCGTTATTGAATTAAATCAAGAAACAACATAAAATGCTGATAAAATTTGAAAATGCTGAAAACTTTATCTAAGATTTTCAGGCAGTCTAATTTGTCATTAAAAATAAAACAGAATAGTTGATATCAATTTGAATTTTTGCCTTTGATCCGCGACAAATGCGGATCAAAGGAAAAAATTCAAATAAGACTAGTGTCACAAGTGGAGTTTCTCAAGATTCGGTGCTGGGCCCTTTACTATTGGTTATCTACATTAATGTTATCTACATATCGACTCTGGCATAAAATTTATATCAAAATTTGCGGACGACACGAAGCAGTGTGCAAGGGTCAACAACGAATAATATGTGGAAGTATCAATCAATCTTCGTTTTGCATCCAGAGACACGGTTCCCCGAGGTAGGACGGTGTTTTCTTTGCCATCAACTTTTTGCGCCAAATTAGACGATCAGTTGTATCCATTTTATTTAAATTTAGAGCTTTCATGTCTTGCTCGATTGTTTGCGACCAGGACTTTTTTGGACGGCCTTTGGGACGTGTGCTAGGTACTTCAACATCTGCAAGAAAAGTTATGGCACTGTTTCTACTTCATTTGACATGACCAAACCACCGCAGACGGTGTTGCCGGCATTCGTACTTTATATCATCTAAACCAGCACGACGCAGGATTTCGGTAAACTTGATGTGGTCCTTCAGACTAATTCGTTGCATCCATCGGAGCATTTTCATGTCGATTCGTTGAAGTTGTTGTTCCAGTTTGGTTGTCATTGGCCATGTTTCTGCACTATATAACAACACCGGACGCATCACAGATTTATAAAGTCTTGATCGTAGTGGTAGTGGGATGTCACGCCGCATCAATATAGAGGCAAGGAGATGCCATTTATTCCGGGCTGCACGTATGCGTGCTCGAACGGCAGCTTCAGATGTTCCAGTGCAATCCAGAACATCTCCTAAATATTGAAACGATGTGACTTTCTCTACCTTAATGGCATCAAAAACATTGCTATTTCGAATTTGTTGTTGTAGATTGATGCAAGCAAGACAAACAAAATTGGACACGTTAGATAAAGTACCAATTATTTTTGAACAACGTTTGTGACACCACTGGTTACAATGCTGACACTTGATTGAATTGTTACCTACACCAGCTTTACAAACTGAACAGGGCCAGGCTATTCTGAAGAGGTTTAGCCAGGGTATTTTGCGCCCGGAAACAAACTGTAAAATTGGCGCACCACCCCTTCTCCATGTTTTATCACATTTTTTATTGCATTTAAAAAAAATTGACACTTGTTTATCCGGGCGCTCATAAATGACATTATTATTATTTATTATTATTAACATTGTAAAAATTACTGTTTAAAAAAACAATTCAAATTTTAATGGAACATTGTATTTAAAGATAAATATACAAATTATAACATATGATTCAGTCCTAGTCAGAGATAATTTACATAGTTTACAATAGATTTATTTTTCTAGATTTTATTGTCGCAAACTGATCAATTATTTTATTCAAATCTGTCATTTCCAATGTTTCTCTTTCAGCGCTGAGAAGAGCAAGATCACTGAGACAATCTTGTCCCATTGATGCACGCAGACACGATAAAATAAGTTTCAATTTGCTGGATGATCGCTCACAGCTTGCAATTGAAACTGCTATTGTCAAAAAAATTTGTGGCGAAATTCGCAGATTTGGAAATACGTCATTTCCATAAGACACAATGAAACCAAGAAGACCCAAAAGACCTTACGGTAGAGCTTGAGTTCGGTTACATGGAAACAGTGTGTACCGGTGTCGCTGGTGCTCTTTATTTCGAATGTAGCGTTGTTATATGTTAAAAAATGAAAAGCCAAAATTTATCACGACATTTAATAATAATTTATTAATACTTCATATTTTTGATGTTTCGTTTATTTTGACAAGTAAAGTTTTTCGGTAAACAAATCATTTTTTCATTTTTTTTATTGTAATAAGATTTTTACTGAAAATTTTGTTAAACTCATTTTGGCGCCCACTGTACTTGGTGCCCGGGAACATATATATTTTTCCGCCCTCCTCCCCTAGCCACGCCACTCTGGATTGAAGGAATTGAAAAACTTGAATATAGGGATAGTCTGAAAGAATGCGGATTAACAACATTAGAAAGGAGAAAATGCAGAGAAGATCTGATTCAAACATATAAGTTAATAACTGGAAAAAAAGAAACACCGTTTAACAAATTCTTTCAACTAGAAAAAGGGAAAGGATTAAGAGGTCACAGATACAAGCTGTTCAAGAAGACTGAAAATCCAATAAAGCAAATATTCTTCAGCAGCAGAGTGGTAAACGCCTTTTTTCAGTGAATTCAATCAACAATTTTAAAACCAAGCTAGGAGAGTTATGATATTGGAACATGTATTTTTTAGTGGTTCTTCATTTATTTTTTAGTGGTTCTAACACAGAGACTAGTTTACTGAACCACTTTAAACTGTGTTATTAATATTATTATTATTAAAAAAATTTTGACTGGTAATCGGGAATGAGCGTGTAGACAATACATTAAATAAAAAATTATATATATATATATATATATATATATATATATATATATATATATATAGTGATATATATATGATATATAAAATGATATATATATATATATATATATGCAGATTTCATTGAATATTTTTGCCCACTTCGCGTTAATTAACTTTTTAAAAATACACTTTACGATATGGAATTGTTATAAATCGTATTTTTTGAGAACTAGTGACATATTTTGGCTGGATAACAACGTTGTTTTGATGTAAAAACCATTTTCAGAGCCTTGTCAATCAATCTTCGTTTTGCGTCCAGAGACCCGGTTCTCCGAGGTAGGACGTTGTTTTCTTGCCATCAACTTCTTGCGCCTTGTGTGAGATACAAATATTAATATTAAAATGAATGGAAATGTAAACCATATAAAATAAAATACAATAGTACCTAAAATGATACGTGTTGTGATTTAAAACAGGCGAAATGAAACATAGGAATAGATGAATAAATAATTTGAAGAGTTACATTGAAAGCAAAATTTCATCTGCATTACCTTGTAATGCAGATGAAATTGAATAATTATTGAAATAAGTTATAGTTTAATATTAAAATAAATAAATAAATGCATATTTACGTGAAACAACTAGAGTAATTTAAAATGTCACGCCACATAAATATAGATGCAAGGAGATGCCATTTATTCCAGGCATACGTGCTCGAACGGCAGCTTCAGCTGTTCCAGTACAATCCAGAACATCCCCTAGATATGAAAACGATGTGACTTTCTCTACCTTAATGGCTTCAAAAACAGTGCTATTTCGAATTTTTTGTTGTGGATTGATGCAAGCAGGACAAACAAAATTGGACACTTTAGATAAAGTACCAATTATTTTTGAACAACGTTTGTGACACCAATGGTTACACTGCTGACACTTGATTGAATTGTTACCTACACCAGCTTTACAAACTGAACAGGGCCATCGTCCAGTAGCTGTGGATTGGATGGGTTCACCAGTGTTCATTGCTTGGGTTTTGCTGATGTTGACTTTGAATCCATGATCGGCGAGTCTGGTGTTCCAATCTTCAAACATCTGTGCTGCATTCTGTTCACACATGGCTGATAAAACGATATCATCAGCATATACTAGATTCCATATACGTTTGGATACCTGCAGTACCAGATGCTTTGATAATGTCATTTGTGAGTCCAGAAGGCCCTGCTGCCTTTCCATCCTTCATAGCTTTCAGAGCTTCCGTAAGCTCCTCTACAGTGATGTCTGGAATCGAAACTTCGATGGGTGGAGCGTCAAAGTTAACATTGATGGTATTTGTTTCGTTTAACAGACGGTTGAAGTATTCTCTCCATTGTAGCTTGATCTCACCTTGTTCAAGAACCATCTCATTTTTGTCGTTTTTGATACATGAGGCACCAACTATGTTTTTTTTCGTACGCTTTGCTTGTTTTGCTATACGATACAGAGATTTCATTTGTTAACCTTTGCTTTTAGTGAGCCACTCTATGCACTGATCTGTCCGAGCCAGTGCAACTTGACGTCTTGCATAGTTGTTCTTCTCACGGCAAATTTTATGGTCATCAACAGACTTTGTTTTTTGCCATTGCTTGTTTGCAACTTTCTTTTCAGCTATTGCATTTTGTACACTGCCATTCCACAACCAAGTGTCCCGTTCATGCTGACGTTTTGTACCAGTTTTCCCAAAAACTGTAGTTGCAGCGTTCATTAAAATGGTTTTGTATGTACTCCAATCTGTACTGGCTTGCGATTGGTGGTCTAACTGTTTGGCGACAATCTGTTGAAATTTTTCTCGATGAATATTGCTTTTCAGTTTCCACGTTTTGATTCTCCGAGGCATTTGTTTAGACTTATGTTTTGACAGTTCGACAACCAGGTCTGACACAAGGAGTCTATGTTGGGCAACACATGATTCGCCATGTATAACTTTGACATTTTTGAATAGTCTTCGGTGTTGTTGCTTGACAATTTGCGTGGCTGATGGTCCACTTTTGTATGTTATGAGAGGTTCTAACCTCTTTCTAAAATATGTGTTCAGTAAACAAAACCCGTGACTTTCAGCAAACTCAAAGATGCGGTTGCCATCTTCATTCCGTTTTCCATAGCCAAAACTGCCATGTACGTTGTTAAAACCATCTGTTTTCTTTCCAACGTGGCCATTGAGATCGCCTCCAATCAGGATTGTTTCAGATTTTGGTATTGTTGAGATGGTGTCAGAGAATGCAGTCCAGAAGTCATTTTTCATCTCTTCTGATTCGTTTGTCTGTGGTGCGTATGCAGAAAAAATAATCATTGTTCGCTTTTCTATGCAAAATTTGATCCACATGAGACGTGAATTAATCCTTTTAATATCCAGTACTTCTTGGGCTAGCGGTTCTCTGACAAAAATTCCAACACCATTTTTTGGCCGTCTTTAGACCATTACAGAATAGTTTATATTTTTCTTTGTCTGAGTTGACATGACGGACACCATTCGATTTCCATCGTGTTTCCTGAAGGCAGAAGATGTCAATCCTTCTACGCTCAAGCATTTTTGCGATTTCCATGCTGCGGCCAGTCAGTGATCCAATATTGAGCGTTCCAAGTCGAAGTACCATAGACGGGCCATTCTGAATTTTTCTGCAACATCCCTCCGCTATTGCATACTTCCCAGGGATTCTTGGCACCCCTTGACCACTTAAGGCCTGCTGGGGACTAGGGGCCGTTGTTTTTCTTTGTGATGGCATAAGAGTAATTTGGAGAAAAGTTTTTACATCCGGACACCCATCCTGACGACAACCACCAGTTATAAGCGGTGGGCCTAGCCTTTCGCTCAAAAGCACGTAAGGCAGGGTGGATTCAGTTTCATGTCATACCCAGGACCAATCAGGTAGCGTTTAATTTTAGATTTAAACAAATGCAAGTGACTGAGAGCTTTAATCTCAAGTGGGATCACCGTGTCCCAGACCTTCGGTTTTGTTAGTTTCAAACTTATATTTATTAATTTTATTCGGGCTGGATTTAAATAAAAAGTAGCATTGTGTCTTAGAGGCTTACTATAAATAGTATTTATTAGAGTAAAAAAATCTTTATAAAAAATCGGAAGTAATTCATGTAGGTATTTAAACATGAAAACTGAGACAAAAATACACGAATGTTGTTTATATTTAAAATTTTCAAAACAGGGTAATATTTTGAAACAGAGCAAAATGGATGGAGATTTAGTAACCAACAAATGAAATTGTTTTGACACCGTTTGACCTGATTCAAGTGCACAGCAGGACAATTATCCCAAAGTAAGTTACAATAAACGAGATGAGGATAAATGAGTTTGTTACACAGTTCCAGAAATATATTTCTATTTAGTTTATGTTTGATCTTGTGTAGTATATCTATTAATTTGTTAAATTTGTCAGAAATAAAATAAATATGGTTGTCCCAGGAAAGATTATCTTTAACTAAGGCTCCAAGAAACCTAATTGAATCAAATCCGGCAAGATTGTTTGAGTTAATATTAATATTTAAGTCAGGCAAAGAATTTGTTAAAATCCTAGGACCAAATATTAAAAAACTGCATTTGGAATAGTTGATTCTAAGCTTATTTAAAATAAACCAATTAACTATTTTTTCAAGTTCACCATTTATTATAGACGAATGATTTGCTGGATTCTTGGTGTGGAAAAGAATAGTGTTGTCATCCGCATAAAGAACAAATTTGGCTATTTCAGAAGCATGCCATAAGTCGTTAATAAATAGTGTAAAGAGAAGAGGTCCTAGAATGGAATCTTGAGGAACTCCAAGACTGATATTAAAAGTCTCAGAACCATGATCACCAATCTTAACAAATTGTTTTCTATTCTTAAGATATGAGCAAAACCATAAATGTACTAGACCTCTAGCACCATAGGAATACAGTTTGGCAAGTAAGATGTCATGGTCAATCATATCAAACGCCTTAGATAAATCTAGAAAAACACCAACCGTCAAAATACCATCATTTAATTTATTCATCACAGGCTAGATACAACACAGCTAAATCAGTTGAAAAATTTGGTCTGAAACCAAATTGGTTGTCACTAATAATATTATTAGCATTCAGAAAAAAAAATAGTCTACAAAATATTAGTATTTCTAAAATTTTGGAAAATGGAGAGAGTAGTGAAATAAGCCTATAATTTTTTTTTTCTCTACTACCCTTTTTGAAAATGGGAATTATGTTAGATTTTTTAAAACATTCAGGGAAGATTTCTTGCGAGAAAGAGAGATTGCAAATATGGGTAAAAGGGACTAAAACTTCGTTGATGATTTGTATAATTAGAAAATTACTTAGTGTGTCTGTTGAGGTGCTTTTACTATTTTTTAAATTGTTAGCTATATTTAAAACCTCTGATTTATTAGTTAACTTTAAAAACATAAACTGATTATTTGATTTTAGAAATTTAGATGAATATTGTGTTGAGATGGTTTGACTGTTCGATCTTGCTACATTAGTGAAATGAGTATTCAGAGCATTACATATCTTTTTAGTATCTTCAATCGTTACATAGTTAATATTGAGACTATTGATGAATAAAGAAGAAGTGTTCATAAATTTTATTTATCAGTACTCATTTTTGTCTAGTGTCTGATTTAGCTGCAAAAAATTGTTCTTTGAAAAAATTATTTTCAGTCTTCCTTTTATATGAAGTGAAATTATTTCTGAACTGTTTATATTTCAAATAGTTATGGGCCATAGGATTAAGCCGATAAAGTTTAAGCAACTTGTTTTGTTTATTAGACATTATGATAATACCATAGGTTGTCCATGATTTTTACTTATTGTTTTGTTCAAAGAAAAAGGAGCAAAACTATTCAAAGCACTATTAATTATGCTGTAAAAAATAAAGCAAGCACAGTCAACACTAGCTTCATTTCTTATTTGAAAGACAGTTGACCAAACAACATGTCTCAGAAAAAGTTTACTTAATCTTATATTATTTTTGGTGAGTCTGCGAACAAGTGAGGTGCATTGTAGCATTGACTTTAGCCTATATTTATGAGATAGAGAGAAAATAGGAAAATGGTCAGAAAAATCGGACACAAGTATTCCACTTTCTGCATAGTCTGGCGCGTTAGAAAAAATATTATCTATAAGAGTAGATGAAGTGGAGGTAACCCGAGTAGGAAAAAATATCAAAGGACTAAAGCCATATGACAAAAGCAAATTTTGAAAATTTTTATTATGAATACAATTTGAGTTTAGAAGATTAACATTAAGTCCCCGATTATATACGTTATTTGCGTCGTTTACATATATTTAAAATCAATTCCAATTTCATAATAAATAAATCTATTTTACTATTAGGTGGTGTCCTGGTTATGACATTAAACTGACCCTCACTGCCTTGTGAGTGATGTTGGATCATCAAAGGCTAGGCCCACCGCTTATAACTGTGGTTGCGTAAGGAAGGGCGTCCTGTGTAAAAACTAGCCAAATAATAAATGCTTATGATGATGACGGAAAAAACAATGGCCCTCAGTATCCGGCAGAAGAGGGTGCGAAGAATCTCCGGAGACCCAGTCGATGGAGTTGTGGTGCAAGGCCCTGTGGATGGTCTGGCTACTGGCACCCCACTCTATAGTGTGGCGGTGCAAGGCACTATAGATGGAAGGACTACTTGTAGACCAAGGGGTTGGAGGTTTGGTACCTGGAATGTAGGCACGTTGACAGGAAGAAGTTTGGAAGTGGTGGAGGAGCTGCAGAGGAGAATGGTTGACGTGGCTGCATTACAGGAAATCAGATGGAAGGGTGAGGGTACAAGGTTTGTGGGGGCTAAAGGTGGAAGATATAAGTTGTGGTGGAAGGGGGATGATGGTACGGGAGGAGTTGGTGTGATGGTAAGAGAAGAGTTGGTGGAGAAGGTGTTGGAAGTGAGGCGGAGAAGCAATGGGGTAATTGTGGTGGTGATGGTGTTTGGAAAAGTAATAGTGAGGGTGATATCAGGATATGCTCCGCAACAAAGTAGGAAGGAAGAGGAGAAGGATAGGTTTTATGATGATGTTTTGATTGACTTTAGCCTATATTTATGAGATAGAGAGAAAATAGGAAAATGGTCAGAAAAATCGGACACAAGTATTCCACTTTCTGCATAGTCTGGCGCGTTAGAAAAAATATTATCTATAAGAGTAGATGAAGTGGAGGTAACCCGAGTAGGAAAAAATATCAAAGGACTAAAGCCATATGACAAAAGCAAATTTTGAAAATTTTTATTATGAATACAATTTGAGTTTAGAAGATTAACATTAAGTCCCCGATTA